ATCATCAAGAAATCTGTTTGATAATGTGAGTTTTAAACTACTGTTGAGTATAAACTGTGAGTTTTCTTTTAAAACTACCTTTGYTTATAAACTGTGAGTTTTATTGTTGATTATATGCTATGAGTTTTGATGTTGGTTTTGAAGAAAAGATGGTAAAACTATTTTGATAGTTTTAAAGGTGTTACTGTTATTGTTGGATAGATAAAGAAGAGTTTGATTCTTTAAATCAGTTTTGGAAATGATATCCTGTTTTGAGGATTTAAAAGAAACCTTGATGTTTTGGAAATCTTTGAAAGACAAGGTTGTTCTTGAGTTTGAAAAGGTTTTTATGATAAAACTATGAATGAGGATTCGATAAGATGGTTGTGACTGCGGTCCTTCATCCGAACTAGTTCATAGATTTTGAAGAAGAAATAAGGGTGGCATATCAAGGAGAGGTGTCTTTTGGAATAAGGGTGGCATATCAAGGAGAAGTGTCTTTTGGAATAAGGGTGGCATATCAAGGAAAGGTATACCTTTGGATATAAGGGTGGCAATTGTATGTGATTATTGTAGCTCTTGCTATTATGTCTTTTAAGACTACAATATATTTGAGTCCTTACTTCTTTGTGATTTGAGAATCAATGATATTGTTCTTATTAGAAATAATGGTATTGATGTTATTGAGAAGGGGAAAACTTGGCTTATGGCCATTGGTATTGGTTAAAAGTGTTTTGAAACAGAATGGTTATTATCATGAGGAACCAGAGGGGCTCTGGTTGGTCCTCATCATTGGACCAGAGGATTTTAGTTATTGATTTGAAGGATGAGCAAATTTTTATTAAAATGTATTAAWTGGATTAGAGATGTTGTATCTTTTGTTAAGTGTTTTCACGTCAAAATCATATTTTAAATGTTTAAGAAAAGAATTTTATACTTAGAATCTTTTTATGAAAAACAGATCAGATGAGTTCTGGTTGACTTACACGTTGAACCAGAGGGGCTCTGGTTGGGCATGTCTTTTGAACCAGAAGCTCTGGTTAGTACAATCAGAGGCTCTGGTCGAACATGAACTTTTTATATTTGTTTGTTTTATGAAAAAGGTTATCTCATTGATTGAGAGTTTATCTAAAGATCATTTATATTAGTGAAGTTTTGGTTAGTTCAACCAGAGGCTCTGGTCATGAAGAGCAGAAGCTCTGGAAGAGAGACCAGAGGGGCTCTGGTCCTGTTTCGAAATATTTTCTAAGTCTGGTTGGTTCAACCAGCGGCTCTGGTCATGAAGACCAGAAGCTCTGGAAGAGAGACTAGAGGGGCTCTGGTCCTAAATGTCGAATTATATTCTAAGTGTGGTGTGAAACCAGTGGCTCTGGTCGTGAAGACCAGAAGCTTTGGAAGAGAGACCAGAGGGACTCTGGTCAAGAATGTTTAAAATATTTTCTAAGTGTTGTTTGAGACCAGAGGCCCGATGGACCAAAGCAGTATGTTTTCATTTTTGCTTCATAAGATGTTTGATTTGAAATAAATGTTTTGGTGATTTTCACCCTGCATTACATAGAAGGGAACCTCACTAGACATTCATGTCTAACCCTCATTTTCGTGTTTCCAAAATTATGTGTGCAGGTAATGATAAGGGAAAGAGTATTGTGTGAATTACTTCCCTATATGTTTAGCTGTTTTTGGAAGCATAGATGATAGGATGCAAGAGCTTGTACTTTTGGAATTTTTGAGTTGTGTATTTTATATTATAGACTCTTGTATCGAGGACCTATGTGGGGAAAACATGTATTCTATATATGAAATATGTGTTATATGTAATGTGTGGATTTGAGGTATTACAGCGGTAGCCCTTGGCGGGGTCTAAGGGGCAGAGTTATGTTGTAAGTCTGGGGGTCGTAAGTGACAATTGTGTCTAGATATATGTTTAGGCGGGAAAAATCAATAACTGTCGCAAAGAAACATGATACGTGTCTCAAAAGTTACTTATTTATTAGTATTTACAGATATAGATGTGGATATTATAAATTAATTAACTTTATATTATTATTAATTAATAAGGTATTAATATTCTTTTAATAATTATATAAATTAATTAAATTCATATTATTATTAATTAATTAATTAAGTACACGTATTTGGATCTGCACTTATGTTTGTAGAGTCTGTAAATACAATTTGCTCCTTTGATTATGTTTCTATTGGTCTTTTGAGATTCATCAACCACTTCACTCGAGGCATCATCTCCTTTTCTGTTCTCCTCTCTCACACTTTGGTCATTTCCATCGCTTCTTTTTTTCATTTTGATCTGCTGATGAACCCAAATTCTTGGTGTTTGGGTTTTCGTCATTCTTCTCCGCTTACTCAATATAATATAAATGTTATAAATTAATTAACTTTATATTATTATTAATTAATAAGGTATTAATATTTTTTAATAACTATATAAATTAATTAAATTCATATTATTATTAATTAATTAAGTACTAAGAGTACATATTCTAAATTTTTTTCCTGGATAATATTGCTTTGTGAAAAATGCTTCAAAAATCCGAATTTGAAATTTTAAACCCGGTTTTGATGACCACTCAAGAGTTAAATTCAGACGTAAATTTTTCCAGAGTTATGTTGTAAGTCTGGTGCCGTAAGTGAAAATTGTGTCTAGATACATGTTTAGGCGGGAAAAATCAATAACTGTCGCTAGGGGTGTAAATGATGCGAGTCGAGCTCGAGTATCACTATACTCGACTCGAACTCGAAACCGAATTTACAAGCTCGAACTCGACTCGAAAACTCACGAGTAATAAAAATCAAAGCTCGACTCGAACTCGATAACTATTTCTCAAGCTCGAACTCGAACTCGAGCTCGAACTCGATAACTATTTCTCAAGCTCGAACTCGAGCTCGAACTCGAATCAAACTCGAACMAAGCTCACCCATTCAAATTTATGAAATTTTAGGATTTTTCTCTTATAAATTTTAAAACTTAAATGTGTTCTTTTAGTTTTTACAAAACTAAATGATCAACTTCAAACTTCATCATCAAAAAGACAAAGTTAGAAATTACATTCACCTCCCTATCTTTTTATAACATTTTTTCTCCCTTCTTTTACCATCTTTCTTTCAATGTGTGACAATTTCACTAACCTTTTTTATAGTTTTTATTTGTCTTTTTTTTAATTTTGATTTTAATAAAAATAATAATTGATTCGTTTTATAATTAAAAATGCATAATTTTGTTTAAATATCTAAAAATGTAGGACATTTTTATTATTTATATTTTACAAATTTTATCATAAAAATTGATTATATTTTAAAACTAATTATATATAAAATAATCGAGTATCTCACGAGTTTTTCGAGTCGAGTATTGTGTAGCTTGCCTCGACTCGTTAATATATCGAGACGAGCTCGAGTTCGAGCCGAGCCTATTCGAGTCGAGTGTTGACCGAGTTTTGACCGAGTCGATCTCGAGTAACTCGCGAGTTGTCTCGTATCATTTACACCCCTAACTGTCGCACAGAAACATGGCACGTATCCCAAAAGTTACTTATTTATTAGTATATATATATATATATGAAAAAAAAACGTTACTTAATGTTGAAACCAGAACGATGCATAAAAATCATATTGGAATAAATAATAAACATTTAAAAGAGTTAATCATTAACAATATACTTTCAATACTTAGATAAACATGGACAGTTTCATTCAGTATTTTCTCTAATTCTCCATGAAACTCAAACTTATTTGTTTCCAGGACTATGGCATCCACTTGATGGTTCCATTTCCTTTTATCTCCTGTAGCCTGGACATATTATCTGCTAATTTGAGAATGTTTGGTTAAATGTATAAAACAATCAGTATTGAGATTGAAAATAAAGGAAACTTTTGGTTTTATACACATCTAGTATTGATACACATCTTCAAGCTGATAAACGTTAAACGTTGACCCTAAAGAAACTATAAACATTATGACCAACAAATTCCGAATTTTTCACCAGGATATACACGTATAAAGTTTCACATTGTGAAACTAAAGACTTGGCTTTGGGGGATTCCCCTCAGAGCCACTGGTTCGAGTCTTGTAAGGCCACTTGGGATTCTCCTAAATGTTCTCCACGTCCCTAAGCTTAGTCGAGGTGTGTACAAGCTGACCAGACACCAATGATTAACAAAAAAAAAAAAACAGTGTAAAACACATAATCTTAAACAGAAAAAACTATCACGTAAAATAATATCTTAAAGTAAAAGTTTCTTTAGTTATGAAAATATATCAGATATCACACGTTAAGGGTGTTCATCGGTTGAGATCCAATTGATTTAGGTGGATCATATCCTATCCAATCATCCATTGGATGTTGGATTTTGGCATCCAATTCAATCCGATTAACATTGAACATCCGATCCGATTCAAATCCAGTGGATGATTGGATTGGATCGGTTCCATCCGTTGGATCTTACTATTGATTAAGCATTGGATCTGATTTGATTCTTACAATCCTTCGATCCAATACTCAACCAATTATTCATATATTTTCTTAAGTATTTAAAAAACAATGTATATATATCAATTAAAAAATAAAATCTTAAAATATTACCAATTATATATAGTTATTAATTGGATGGTCATTGTATTGGGTCGGTTCGGTTTTATTAGATGTTGGACTGTCATCCAAGAACCAACCGATCCGATTTGGATGTCGAAATTTTGGATCCGATCCAATCCAATCCAATTACAATTGGATATCTGATGATAGTCGGTCTGTCAATCCTAATTAAATCAGTCGATTGATATTAGATCAGATGACTTTCTACACATCTATATCAGACGAACAAACAAACATGACTTTAACGTATTCATGAAGTTGTGGACTCAAATTTGAAACCATTAGAATGGAGGTGAGATCTGGATAAGAGAATTTGAGTCATGTTTTAAAGTCTAAATTTGCCGACACCCATAAACCATATAAGGAAAGGTCGTTGATGGTGGACACATATGTTATTATCCATGTTTATATTCATGTCCCCACGTTGAAATTTTAATCCAAATCATTGCAATTCCAGCTTTCGTTTCAATCAGTTACAGATATAAAGCAGTCTGTAAGTATACATCCCATGAGAACCATTCAATTTCAGTTTCAATCCAGATTTCATCTTCGAATTTGAGTTTTTGATCGATGAAAATGGAGGTGGTGCCGTATACTGATCCTAAAGAGAATTCAATCACGCCGCCGTGGCAGGAAATGTTCCGATCAGCTTCCACCCGAAAACCCAATCCGTCGTCTCCCGAAACGAACATTCAGCCACCGCCGCCGCCGGATCCACCGCAATCCACCACAAGTTCTGATGAGGAGAAGGAGGATTCTTCCATCTCCGGTGATCCTCAGGTGCGTCTTGCCCTTTATATAGCCATGGCTCATGCTGGATTTGCGTTCGCTTTCTTAATCATCTATGGCGTTTATAGGTTACTTGAACAGTATCTCCGGCCGATTCTGTGGGCTGTTCTTTGTTCCATTCCTCTTAGAGGAATTCAACAAACTCTAGTTGCGTTTTGGTCTGAACCTTTGAAATTAGGGCTTACAGAAACTATACTGGCTGTACCTGTATCGATGTTTAGGGTTTTTATCGGAGCCCTAGTTGAATTTCGAGATATATTCTACAAAATTATCCGTCGGAGAAAGAAGAAATCGAATTCAATGAAACGAAAACGTAGCGGATTTTCGATTTTGTTAAGATGGTTGTTGTCATTTTGGGTTTTTGTGATGGTTTATGAACAATTTGGGGGTTTTGGTGCGATTACTCTTTTAGGGTTAGGGTTTATGTTTACATCTAGCAATGTTGATTCCACGATGTCTGTTGTTTCATCTTTTCGAAGCCATAGCTTTAAACGAAGCCCTTATTCCGCCATTTTTACGAAAAGGATTCTGAATCGATTAGAAACTGTTGTTGCAATTGGATTGATTGTGGGGATGATTGTGGGTTCGATGGCGACTGTTACGTTCTTCTCGTATAAGGTCGGAATCGAGGGGAAAGGTGCGGTTTTCTCGATCAAGTCGCATGTTGAAGAAAGCAATTATGCGGAAAAGATCGGTCTGAAACAATGGATGGATGAACATGATGTGCCGGCAATGGTGGATCGGTATACTAATCAGTTTTACGAAACTGTTTACGAACAGATCGATAGTTTAGCAATGCAGTATAACATGACTGAAATCGTTGAGGAGATGAAACAAATTGTTTCGCCAAAATTCACGAATACTTCTGCTCGATCGAATGCATTAGCAATCCCGAATCCGTATGCTGAGAAAATTCTCAGTTTAAGAAGACGGGTTTCTAATCGTGAATGGGCCGAGATTTATCCAGAATTCAGTTCTTTGTTCAAAGAAGTAGTGATCAGCAGGGAGGATATCACCGAGAAGGCGAAATCGATCGCTTTTCAAGGGAAAGACGTGATTCAACGTGTTTTGGCTAGTAGTAAATCGATTGTGGGTGGAAGCACAAAGCTCGTTTTTGTCGTTATCGAGTCGATTGTATCTGGAGCAGCCGGTCTTTGGAATTTTATTTCGCAAATGATGGTTTTCATATGGGTTTTATACTCTCTAATAACCTCGGATTCTGGTGGGGTTACGGAGCAAGTTATGTTTATGTTCCCGATCTCGAAATCGGCTAGAACACGATGTGTAGAAGTTCTCGATAAGGCTATCTCCAGCGTTCTTTTGGCGACTGCCGAGATTGCTTTCTTTCAAGGATGTCTTACTTGGCTTTTGTTTAGTCTATTTGACATCCATTTCTTGTACATGTCGACCGTTCTTGCGTTTATCAGCCCGTTTTTCCCGTTACTTCCGTATTTTATTTCAACGATCCCTGCAGGATTGCAATTGGTGCTCGAAGGTCGATATATAATCGCCATTTGCTTGTCGGTGATTCATGCCGTGCTTATCGAATTTGGTATTACTGAAATTCGAGAGGACATACCTGGTCACAGCGCGTATCTCACCGGGCTTAGCATCATTGGCGGAGTCGCATTGTTCCCATCGGCAGTTGAGGTAAAGTTGCGAAGATATCCCTCAGTTACTTACGTCCTTAGCCCTAGGAGCAGGTTTAAATGAGAACCGTAGATATGAGATAGCACGGGAAAGACATAATAAATTCAAGATGGGTAAATTACTGAACTACCCCTGAGCGAGGGAAATCCCATCAAAATAGATGGAACAAAGGAGATAGTCTGGATAGACGAATTACTAAACTACCCCAAGGCAAGACCGAGGGTATCCCATCAAAATAGGTGGAACAAAGTTGATAATTCAAGATTGGTAAATTACTAAACTACCCCAGTCATATTATAACCTTCAAATCTTCCATAATTATTTGGCCAACCTACCTAGGTAAACTACCACAATCCATGTCATATTAAAATCTTCCACAATTATTTCAACCCCCTACGTAGGTAAATTACTAAATTACCCATGTCATATTAAAACCTTCAAACCTTCCACAATTATTTTACCCGCCTACTTAGGTAAATTACCAAACTACCCATATCACATTTAAACCTTCAAATCTTTCACAATTCTTTCACCTATCTACCTCACTCTCGCCAGTCTTATCCCATCCGGTTCTGTCCTGAGTACAGGCACACCAATTATTCATATTGAATATCGTGATAGATATTCCTGAATGTTAATGAATATTTTGGGGTTATTCATTGCTATTGATTATACGTTGGACCTCTGGTTTTCAAAATATATACGGTTTTCATTTGAACTTTTCCATGTTTTCTTGTACTATAACAAGAACCAACGTGCTAACTATCATCCATCACGATGCTTGTGGTGTTTGTTAATACGGATATCGTGTGCTTGAACGGTTTTAAGTGGTGATGCAGGGTGCAATAATGGGGCCGTTGATAACGACAGTCGTTATAGCTCTCAAGAACTTGTATGTAGAGTTTGTTTTGGATGAAGTCAAGTGAAGAAGCAGTTTAGTTTGCAGGAAGATTGTTGAATTTTGATACATTATTTAGTGGAAATTTGGATTCATGACACCCTTGGGAAAGCATATGGTGTTATTGGAGTAATTTTGTTAGGGTAAGTAAAAGTGATTTCTATTCTTTGAAATTGTATTCTCAAATCAGTTGGCAAGACTTTGTTCGAGTTCTCTTGTTATGTATGTCTGTATGTAGTATGTAAGTTACTCTGTACCTACAAGTTTATAAAGATGATTTGTTGTGCTTTTCGGCTGTTTCGTGTTTTGGATTAGAGATGGCTAAATGAGCCCGGTCCGTATGTAATATGTCTCATGATTCTTTCTGCAAATTCCTTGTATATTCAAATTCAGACGATGATCAATGGTCAGGATGCGTCCTTAAAGAATATGACGATCAAATTCGATGAATGAAAACCGAGTGAAATCTTGAATCAAGGCAAATTTAAGACGACGATGATGCACCTCCACTATCGGAGCTTAACGGCACTAAGTGGTTGTTTACCAAAAGATAACACTTACCGATATCAGTTATCTTACTAATCAACCATGGTAGGGGTCATTTACCGAACGCTTACCCGGTGAGTGCTTGTCGGGCCATTTCCCTTATGAGATATAACGGCAAAGACCAAAAATCTTACCGGATAAAAGCGATAATAATGATCAAGAGTCTTACTCGGTAAGTGTGGCTGACGACTCTTACCTGGTTAGTGTTTATCGGATAAATAGTTATATACGATGCCGTTTTGATAGACTAGAATCTTACCCGGTAATAAATGAGAGTGTTGACTCACTGGTAAGCACTTAGTGGGTAATCGTTTGGGTAAACGGTTCATGAGAATCTTATTTGGTAAGAGGCAGGACAAAGATCGAGAGTCTTACGTGGTACAAATTTCCTTGGTTAACAGTAATTGTATTTTTACCAATATTTGCGGATTCCTTAATATTCTTTCTTCCACATTGAGCCAAATGTATCTGTATCGAATAGAACACACTGAGTCAAATCTTCTTCATGTAAAACCTGCTTGATTTAAATCGGGAAAATCGTGTGGTTCTGTGAGGGAAATGGCTCTTACCCGGTAAACGTTTATCAGATTTAAGATGGTTACCAACAATCTGTGTTGATGGCATAATGTTATATAATAAGGTAAATGAAAGTGATATCTCTTACCAGTAAACACTTACCCGATAAACATTTGGTAAATGGACCTTAACTAACTTATTCGGCCCACAAGTTTAGCAATCGCACTATTTGAAGTGGTTTGATGATATGAAAAGTGATTTATTTAGTAAGATTTTAGATGAGTTTTATGGAGAAAACCGAACTTTTTTCAAACGTGTCTCTCTCAATTAAAAGAAGCTTCTTCCACATATAAGAACCTCTCCCAAACAAAAGTTTTACTAATCTATATAAACAGATTAATCCACAATAACAACTTTATCGTTAATGGAAAAACAATCAAACAACCTTTTACCCAGAGTTGTTCATGGGCGGTACGTCCCTCTAGATCCTGTTCGCCCGAACCGATAGAAAAACAAACTTAAACAATCATTCTTGAAAAAAATGGGCAGGCTCGAGTCGGGCCGCTAAAATTAATGGGCGGGCTTGGGCAATAAAAAAAATATTTGAACAGCCTGCCCCGCCCATTATATTATTGTAGTTGACTGATTTTGTATATCATTAATAATTTGTTGTTTTTTATTAAAAAGATTTAAAAGTGGTTTTGGGTTGGATTCTCTCTACTGAGTATCAACTGTCTCACACACACATTCACACACACACACACACTCACACACACACACACACACACATATATATATATATATATATAGGGTCAGGTTCAAATGTTAACCAAAGTTTTTGTGTTAACTTTGTTAACCGATCTTGGTCATTCAATCTTTCAATAAACAGTTGTGATTAATCATGATAAAGACTTATTTTTTTTTAATTTAAAATTTCATAAAAATAAGTGAACAAAGTTGAAAAGGGTATTTAGGTACAAATATTATGTAACTCCCATATCATTAATTAATTGGGAGTTACAATATAAAAAATTATATGATTTTTTTGTTAATGTAAGAATCATATGAACACAACTATATATATAAGAACCATTGTGTCAAATGCGAACAAAAATTTGACATATATATGAACTTGAACTGCATAACATTTATGAACACAATATGAACATAATAAGAAAAACTGTTATACGAAAGGAAATAAATAAAAAAACAGGTATGAACACGATATGAACAGCTTGTGAACAATAGTTCCTTCATTATAAACACATTCAGGAGCGATCCTTTGTCAATTGGCATTGCATCCACACCGTTTAAGGTTCACCCCTTGTTCATATATGTTTCTGATCTTATATGATTGTTCACCCCTTGTTCATATCGTGTTCACCCCTTGTTCATATCGTATAAAATATATGAACACATAACCCCAACGCTATGAACACCGGGTGCAAACACTTACACAAATATAAAGATTTGATATCAAGCTTAAAAAATAACACTTGTGTTCATATGATAGACGTAACATGAACACAATGGTTAATGATTCATAAAAGTCGGTAATACGACAATATGAAAATAGGTCGTGCATGTACTTCCATTTGAACATGTGATTTAGGTACGTATTTTAGTAATTAAAAAAAAGCTATCAATACAAGATGAATTATAAAAAACACAACACATCGTAATGAACATAATTTCGATTAAATCGAATCTAAAAAAAATAAAAATCTATTACCAAGACATTCGCTTTGGTTAATTTCTTTAATTTCCGACCTCGAACTCCGATTGTCATCATAAACCATTTTAATCTTCTCACTGTTGTCGATTTATATTCCATTGCGTTTATCCATATTAGCTTGATTGATACCAAAAAAATTTACTACCGTGTTTTCTATGCGAATTAAAAACTGATAAAACAATAAACATGGAAGCTCAAGATTAAAAAATATATATATATTAATATTATAAATGCAAATTTTTTGGGATTTGATGATTTGTAACTCTCCATTAATTGTTTGGGAGTTACATATCAAATCAGTTTACTGAAATACCCTTGTAATTAAAATGTGAACATGACATAAACCTACAAAAAGAATGGAATTTGATTGGTTTTCAAAGTTAACACAAGGGTTTTTCGTGAGACCCGTAAGATCAATTCTCAACCCTTAGATTAGATCTACAATCTCAACATTCATAATCACAAAATTGCCACGAGACTTCTTAATAATTACAAAATTGCCACCGTGCAATTTTAGATCATTAGCTTATAAAGTTGATCAATGAACATAAATTGGTCTCACAAAAAACTCTTGTTCTCACGTGAACCCAACCCTATATATATATATGCATATATATATGTGTGGATGTTCAAACAAGAACATCTTCATTTTACGAGAACGCGAGAACATCCTTATCACATGTGATAAAACACTTGAGTGGACTTGGTGGTGTATGGATGTCGTGCCTTGCGACTTAGGTCGCACCAAAGATCGTCTGCATCTATGATTTTTAGTATCACATGTGATGGTCTTGATGAATTATAATATCACATTTATCACATGTGATAGTATCACATGTGTATCATATGTGATTGTTTATGGTAAAAGAGCGTTCTCGCATTCTCGTAAAATGAAGATGTTCTCGTTTGAACTCTTCCCTATATATAATATATGATATGTTATATAGTATGTTTCAAATCTCGATCTTGAAATATTAGGTGGATAAATTTTTGCTATTTTTTTCTATATATTTTGATATCTTTTACATCTTATTTTATTCTCGAAAGAACTTACGTAATTTAAATGATTTTAACATGATTTTATATAAGATCTGTTTTTCAAATGTGAGAAAAGCCCATTAACCCGTGGGTAAACCGGACCCCTTTATAAGGCGGAAACGTGCAAGTTCATAAGCCCAAGCCCTTTATAAGACGGGTACGGACAAGTTCATAAGCCCACAAAAACATGCTTGGGCAGTTCAACAAGAAAACTATGTTAAGACCGACCCAAGTTCGCTCTCATGTTATCCCATTCCGTTTGCTAGCCCCTCTCAAATTTTTAGTTTTAACCCAGTGATTTAATAAATTTGCATAAACACCCCTCATTGTTTGATACTTGTATCATATTGTTGTAAGCTTTATTTCTTTTACAAAATCGATCACTAAATAATTGTGCATCACTAGATTTTAACTGGACCAAAAAAAAAATTGGCCAGAAATAAAGAAACTGCACACAATATGAAAAAAAGTATCCCACAAAATAATAGAATAATATCCTTTTAGTGAAATTAATATAATATTTTTTTTATTTTTTTATTTTTTTTATTGAAATCAAAGAAATAATAAACAATAAAATATTGACTTCAAATATAGAAGTCAAAAACCTTTAATTTTATGATAATAATAAACATCGTATTAAATTTTTAATGAATATATATAAACTTAACAAAACTTAATATATACTATATTATAAAATATTTGATAAAAACTTTTAAAAATTATTTTTTATACATGAAGTACTATTTATTGATGCATATTACTTAAAATTTAAGATTTCAAGTAAATTGTACGTAAGTACAACTTATTAAAGCTACATATTTGAATTTGTATAACTAATTGTGGGTAAACATAATCAAATAGAGAATAAACATCTCATTTTATAAAAAATTTAAAATATAATTAGGATAATAATTGAGTTTTAACAAAATAATTAATTATTATATTTATAAAAAATTATATTATTAAACTTATTAAATATAAATAAAATTATAATATAAAAATTAAATTCAAAAATTACA